TCTCACAAGCATCTTCCTTTAAACCCTTTCCCCAAACCTCTTCATTAAACCCCTATACTGCATCCAAATCCACCCTTCAGTCTATTATCCAGACCCACAAAAGTCCATCTCTTGCTCAGCCCAACCCTCTATCACTCCAGCATCTACCCAACAAACACCTTCCATCCCACTACCAGTCTGTGAGTCATTTACCCAAATCTCCACTTAAAAATAACCAATTTGAACACCAAATGGGACCAAAGCAAACCAGCCCACCTCACCCTGACCTTCAAACAACTGTATCCCTGAACAGTCCATCTCATCTTGAACCTCTGGGTTACTTTCACCAAGCCCTGCCCCAAACTACCCCCAGTCAAACTCTGGGTCAAGGTAGCTTTCCCCAGACAGACCAGTCCCAATCTGAAATACTATCTGAAGCTTCTAGTATCTCTTCCCAGCCCCTTTCCCAAAGTAATACACCCCATGCATCTACATCTGGGTGGAAGCAATCTCAGCCTTCAGTAACTCCCAGATCTTTCAGCCCTCTACTCTTCACATTGAGGGTTGACCCAGTCGTCACACTAGATGAGGGTAAAGAGATCACAGATGTTCTGTCTCCAGCAAAAATCAAAACCATGAGCCCAGTGTCTGTCTTTGCTCCCTTAGCTACTCCTTCTCCTTCTTATTTTTCTGGCTCTACCTATCAGTCAACTCTTCACTCCTCATCCTCTACTTCAGATCATACTTTGCTTGCATCTTCCCTTGTTCACCATAGCTCTACCACTCCTCCATATCCTTCTACAGGTTCACCCCTAGTATCAATGCATCCATCCATCAAATCAAAATTGTTCACCCATTCCTCTTCTTCCTCTGTAAAGGACCAACCCAAAACAGCTCCAGCCATTTCTGCTCTAACTTCTCCTTCCCCGATTTCAGTTCCTCCTAATTTTCCCTCTGACCAACCATCCTCTACTTCCCCTGTGCCATCCTCCTTAGCCTCTTCATTAAAATCATTGAATTCCTCCAACTATCCATCACCAGCTCCCTTATTCTCCCCACTCCCTTTATCTACTTCTTCCTCATCTCCCTTTACCTCCTCCCAGTATATCACAGGTTCAACCTTTTCCTCAACCTCTTCTTCCACCATCTCTCCTGTTCTCTCCTCCTCCATTGTCTCTGGAGCTTCTTCCCTAGGTTTTGCAACTTCCCCCCGTTCACCTCCTCCTTCTTCCTCATCTACCTCTACCCCAGCAACTTCTCTCTTCCCATTGGGATCATCATATTCCTCCAATTCATCTGCCACTTCCTCCTCTTCTATGTCATCTACCACCATGTATCCAGGACCCTCACCAGCTCCCCGTCGTTCTCTTCACAACCCCTCCTCGTCCTCTTTGTCCCCTGCACCCTCCCACAAAGTGACTGTAGGTCAGAGGTTGCTAATCCAGAACCACATGGCATCATCTAATCCTAAAACCATCATTAACTCACCAACATTAAGAGCAGTGATTCACCCAAACCACCAACCTGATCCAAGCCTTAAACCAAACTTTAAACTAAATATTGGTCATGAATTGAAACCAAATCTTCCGAACAGTGAAACTAAACCCAAACGTCCCTCCAATCCCTCTGGAACTCCAGACAAGGAAGAGAAATATCCAGATATTATCCCCAGACACAGTGCCTGGGAGCTGGGCATGTTGCTGGGCTCCTCAGCTGGCTTGGGTATGGTGCTGGTGGTCGGGATAAGATATATGTACCGTCAAGCCTGTCACAAACAGACAGAGATGACGCTGAATGACAGGGAGAGAGAGTATGGGAGAGGAGAAAGAGGGCTGATCCATGTCCAGGAGTGTGGAGATTTGGTCAGAGTCCGGAGAATCAGAGAAAACAGCTTTGTGCTTCTGGCAGAGTATGATATACTGGCATCACCTGGAGACTGACAGACAGGGAACATACACAGGTAATGGTAGCAACTGACAGTTGTAGACACCAAAATATTTTTTCAAATCAGAGCTGAGAGCAGAAATAATCATACCATTTGAGGTCTCTCATTAAATTAAATTAACATTAAATTGGAGTGAAATTGATATTGTGAAGCATGGCATTTAATTGGTAACAGAAAACACACAAAAATACAAAGCTTCCTTGTTATCTAGTTAGCCTAGCTAGGGACTAGCTTGTACGTCAAGCTAGCCTACAGCATTCTAATGTCATGAGCTTAATGGTCATAATCCAGTGAAACAAGGTTATTTTACATTCTTTTGTCACAGTAGCATTGATGCTCAATGATGGCAAAGTTACTCTATTTGTTTTCATGCCCGAAAGCAAGATACCTTGACAGCTTCTGGCCAGTTGCCTTCTGAACTGGTGTGATCATTCGGAGTCCACAGACAACTTTTGTTTAGCATCACATTGAGATTAAAATGCATCCTCTTTGGTGCCTGACAGTGTCTCAAAAAGTATTTGTCAGATTGTCATGAAATTGACTGTGATTATTCACGATCCTCAGATAATGAATAATATTTGGCCACTATGTCAGCCTTTTGTCTGGCACCAAAATGAGGCCAAACCTAGACTTGTCCATAAAAATATACAGGCTGAGCTACGTTATCGGCAGAGATCAGAACAGGAAGCTAACATCTTCTTCTAATTTTGTTTTTCCTAAAAAAACAAAAAAGAACATAACACACTAA